TTGCACCGCGCTGCGTAAACATAAAACCATGTCTGCATTTGTGATCGAAGAAATGACAAACAACAAGCACTACTCTACACTGCTCAAAACTCGCGTTTGAATCGTCAGTGGCAAATCCTTTAAATATGAAAACTTACTTACAGTCTCTGAGTCAGAACAGCCGGCATTGTAGTCTACTCTCCCAGGATCAGGACACAGTCCTCCATAAAATGTGCTGCACACATCTGAATATTTGGGTTAAACTGTTCTGGAACAGTGTTGTAAATACAACTTAACCACTGATTTCTAGTCGTGTCCTCTTTTGGAAGACCAAACAAAGTAGTTTCGCTTTCGCAACGAAACACACAGCGTCTTCACAACATGGCAGCGGTGGCAGCAACAATAAAGTTACGCCTTCTTTCTTTGAGTGCACATTTGGGCGGTGTTATGCAAATCTTCCCACATCGTGACGTAGACATGTGGGGGCGTGTTTGAACGAGCCGTTTTAGGAGGGCGTGGACGAGTCTTATTCTTTATAAAGGTTATCTCTTTGGGTTTGAGACTTTAGTCTTTGCAACTTTTGGGATCTTATCTATTCATGAACAGCTTGTAATGCTCCAAAGAGAAAGGAAAACTTGAAATCGCATCATATGACCGCTTTAACATGAAAGCCTCCATTCTAAAACAGACATCTTTGCTCTTTCGATAACGTGTTTTAGCTGAAACTTCTCTCTGTTCAGCTGATAATTCCTTTGGAATCCTCTATTCTGGATCACCCAGACCGTCCACAGTCACTGAGCGTCAGTCTTCCTCAGATCGTCCTCAGCAACACGCGCCATGCTCCTCATGGTTCCCATTCGGACCTCAACAGCACCTACAGCAGCTTCTCTGCCCGCCCTTTCTTCCATCCCATGGTGTGCCAACCTTTCCCTCGCGATCAGAGCGTCCTCCATCCCCTGCCGTCTGCATTCCTCCAACACTGTCTGGAAAACGAGTCCCTGTCCTTAGTGCACAAACGCCCCTCTCGCTCTCAGGACGTCTGGTCTGTCAGTTTGTCCCGAGTGGCTCTTGGCTTTGAAGGGGCTCGTCGAGGGCCCAGCGGGAAAGCACTTCCCTTTGTGGAGCCCTTTGCCATGTCTTTGTGGATGTGCTGCCCTTCTGCCTTCAAAAAAGACTCTCATTGTTCGAGTATAGATGGCAATTCGAAAATACCCACCGGTTCTAGCAAACAGTGCCTCCTAGATTCACCACAGGGTGTAGATGACGTCATATCTAATAAAGTTGACCAAACTAAGGGTCTAGTCAACTCTACCATGGCCTCCATCCATATCTTAGCCCAGTCCATTACTCCTGTCAAAATGTGGCTCAACCACTACCAGTTCGTAGCCCTTTTGCGGATGAAGGACTATCTTGCCCGACTAGCTGGAGATTTGACCAAGGACGTCCAGGGTTTGGGACAGCTTGAACACAAACCGTCAGATCCACCTTCGGTTTGTGTCTCAGTCCTGATGGAAGCGATAGAACTTGCTCTACTTCTTCCTCCTGCAACATGCGAGCCAGAAGAAGAAGCCCGTTCTCCTGAGGAAACGGACAGTCCCAGCTTGACCGACTCTGACCTCTCGCCATCCCACCACGCCGGGGAGCCTGGCCTGCTGGAGGACAGTGGGACGGGAGGAAATGAGGATCAAGAGGGTTCGGTAGAGGAGGCTTGCGAAGCTGTTGAAGAAGGAATGGATGAAACTCGGGCCTTTGTTACTTCCACATCTCCTCCACTCTCTCCAGGGAATCCTGCATTACTGTCCCGTCATGGCTCCACTTTCAGCTTGGAGGGGGAGCTGTCCAATGCCCTGAATGCCACCAAATGTGTCACCAAAGACGCACTCAGCATCTCCCTGGATCTCACCAAGGGTGCGCTGTCCATCACGAAAGATGCCTTCAGCATCCTGAGCCGAGGATCTGGCATGACTAAACTCTTCACTCCTCAAAACAAGTAAGACCTTTAGGCCATCTGCATTGTTTTGGTCTTGATTTTAGGATTGCATTAATATGGAAAATCTGGTATTTCTTATAGTGGCTGAAACGGATAATTTTACTGTTCACATTTTATCTCTTTCAGCTGCTAATTAAAAAAAAAACTATTCTATGGCTTGGCCATTGTTGACTCCATCCTAGAAATTATCGCCAGATCAGAGCCGTTTAATTTGTGGTGTTAAAGGGATAGTTCACCCAAAAATGAAAATTTGATGTTTATCTGCTTACCCCCTGGGCATCCAAGATGTAGGTGACTTTTTTTTTTCTTCAGTAGAACACAAACGAAGATTTTTAATTCAAACCGTTGCAGTCTGTCAGTCTTATAATGGCAGTCAATGGGCTCCACAGCTTTGAGAGTCAAAAAACATACACAAACAAAACCAAATTAAACCCTGCGGCTCGTGACGATACATTGATGTGTAAAGACACGAAACGATCGGTCTGTGCGAGAAACTGAACAGTATTTATATCGTTTTTTTTACCTCTGATTCACTGTAATGTCTGAACTGTCTTGAGCGCGTTCTCAACAGCCGGTGCGTGACGCGTCGTCGTCTTCTTGCTTTACGGCAGATCGCAGACCTATAAGTGCATTACCGCCACCTATCTCTCAAATGGACCATTGACACTCCTAATTGAGATTGTAGATAGTTTCTCCATGGTCCATTTGAGAGATGGGTGGCCGTAATGCACTTATAAGTCTGCGATCCACCGTAAAGCAAGAAGAAGAAGAAGAAGAAGATGCCTCACACGCCTGCTGTTGAGAACAAGCTCAGGACAGTTCGGACATTGCGGTGAATCAGAGGTAAAAACGATAAATACTGTTCAGTTTCTTGCACAGACCGATCGTTTTGCGTCTTTACACATCAATGTATCATCACGAGCCGCAGGGTTTAATTTGGTTTTGTTTGAGTATGTTTTTTTGACTCTCAAAGCCGTGATTCCCATTCACTTCCATTATATGACTGACAGACTGCAACAGTTTGAGTTAAGAATCTTCGTTTGTGTTCTACTGAAGAAACCAAGTCACCTACATCTTGGATCCCCTGGGGGTAAGCAGATAAACATTTTTTTTATTATTTTTGGGTGAACTATCCCTTTAAGCTGGAAAAAAATTTTTTTTTTTTAGCTCACATGCAGTGCACACAGTACATAATTGAAAAGAGCTGATACTGCTTGTGGCTATTCTAATGGATGTCTGTATTTGGTTTAAGGAAGGACATGGGACTGTATTTAAAGCAGTTTAAGCATAGTTGCAGACAGTAAATTTGCACATTGTTGGTACAACGGCCAGTAGTCTTAAAGGGATAGTTCACACAAAAATGAAAATGCTTTTATCATTTACTCACTCTCATGTTGTTATGAATCCATACAACTTTAATTCATCTTCAAAACACAAATGAATATATTTTTTAATGAAACCTGAGATATTGCTGTCCCTCTGTTGACCACAACTTTGACGATTCAATAAGTTCATAAAGACATCGTAAAAGTAATCCATATGAATCAAGCAGTTTAATCAACGTCTTCTGCAGAGACTTGATCATTTTATGTGATTTTTTTAAGCAAATAAACATTGCTCAACAGAAATATTTAGAGCACATAAAATAACGTAAACTTCACAGTACTTGCTTGATACACAGTAACCAATGAGGTTTGTTCTTGCGTGTGAGGCAACTACCATTGAGCTTCTCTTTACCATATTTTATGTGCTCTATGTATGTACGTTGATATATGCAATGTTACACGTAAATAAAAGCCAAAATTAAATAATTTGCAGATTACTTCACTCGATTCATATGGGTTACTTTAGGTCTTTATTAACTTTTTTTATCAAAGTTCTGGTGGAATGGACTTTCAATGGAGGGACAGAAAACACTCAGGTTTCATTGAAAATATCTTCATTTGTGTTTCGAAAGGGAATGAAAGTTGTATGGGTTTGGAATGTAATTAATGACTATTTTAATTAGCTGGTGCCTGACGGAGAAGTGTGGTGAAGATATCGTGGTGGCGCTGGAAGCCCAAGAGCTTGTGCCTAAACAACATGGCAACCATAAAGTCATAGACCTGCTGGCGGGACTGGCACTGACTGAGGGTTAGGATGCTAAATGTGTCCATAAATGTGAATGCCAAAATAATAATTTGGCCACTTTTTTTGACCGCTTTGTTTAAATTAACATTAGGCACAACACTGTTTACATGAATCTCCTGCCCAAACATCCCCAAGATTCCAATAGTGATCGCTTTCACTTGTCGGCACCAGTTTGAATGACCTTGTGCTAATTCAGCTTCTCAGACATCGACAAACGTACATACGAGTATGTTGGACACATCTGTTTCATAAGATCACACATCATTAAAGGAGTAGTTCACCATTATATCACTTGTTCACCAGTGGACCCTCTGCAGTGAATGGGTGCCGTCAGAATGAGAGTCCAAACAGCTAAAAGGCCGGAACACACCAAGCCGATGGTATTTTATATACTATATAATATTTTCATAACAACATGAGCCGCTTAAAATTAAAAAAATTATCAACATTTTATTCAAAATGGTAAGCAAGCACTGCTTTGTTTTGTATGTCTGCGTATATCTGCTTATGTCTTGTATATTGTTTCTGTTTCTCCTTTTGAATGAATCTATACTATTGGTAGCTGCTGATATAGACAGTTAACTCCTCTCATGCAGGCACAAAAGGCACGTGCTAGTTTGCAATCGGCTGTAGTCTGTGTTCAAGCGCAGCGTTTTGGTCCAGACACAGCTGATGTGAGGCAACGACATTGGCTTTCGTCGTCACTAATTTTTTGAAGTCGGCTTGTTGTGTTCTGGCATTGATAAAAACTTCAAAATAATTCACAAGTAATCCACACGACTCCAATCCATCAATTAACATCTTGTGAAGCGAAAAGATGTGTTTGATAGAAACAAATCCATCAAGTCGTTTTTAAATTCAAATCGTTGCTTCTGGCTAAAATATGAGTCCTCGATCCATAATTTTGCCTTCTCTGGTGAAAATGTCGTCTTGTCTGAGTGAAATCGGCACAGATCAAGCACCGTTTACAAACGAAAACAGTCCAAAACAGTTCCAAACAAATATGTGAGTGGATTTTAATGTAAAATGACTTTCTTCTTTCAAACGAATCCAGTCAGAGTTATATAAAAAATTGTCTTTGATCTTTAAAGCTGTTTAATGGCACTCAGCGGGTGTTGCATTGCTTCAGTCCAAAAGAAGTGACATAAAAAGCGCCAATCCATAAAAAAAAGTCTCACACAGCTCCGGGGGGTGAACAAAGTCCTCCTGTAGCAAATCGATGCATTTTTGTAAGAAAAATATCCATATTCAAAATGTAATAATCATTTTAATGTAGCTTGCGCCAACAGTTGTACACAGAAGCAGTTCCGGGCGGATGAGGTATGAGTTCAGCACTGCGCATGTGCCGGTGAGTCTCGTGTAAACCAACGTTTGTTAACAGGAGCAAAGGAAGCAAAGTTTCCTTACTTTAGCAAAGGAAAACCAGTCTCCTCTTGGCTTATATCGAAATCCTTCAACATTCTTCTTTACAAATCCTCGTTTACAACAGTGAGCGCAAGCTAGATTCAAGTGATTATTAACTTTTGAATATGGATATTTGTCTTACAAAAACGCATCAGCAACGCTACAGGAGGCCTTTGTTCACCCTCCGGAGCCGTGTGAGACACTTTTTTTTTTATTTTTATTTTTATTTATTTTTTTTTTCAAGGATGGGCGATTTTTATTTAAGTTCTTTTGGACTGAAGCAATGCAACACCCGCTGAGTGCCATTAAACAGCTTGAAAGATCAAATACAATTTTTTATATAACTCTGACTGGATTCGTCTGAGAGAAGAAAGTCATATACACCTAGGATGCCT